GGACAGTCCCTGAGTTGTCTCATAACACTTTCTATTTAATAATGTTACTAGCCTTTGCACTTGAATGTATAAACAAAAATTCCCATGACTTTTTAAATATACTAATCATACTATATTAAAATGTTGTATTTCCTCAAAATTGCACTGTTTGATATTTTTCTAATTGTGAAATATAACCTAATGTAGATACGCGCATAAAACATAAATGAACAGTGTAATGTTGAAGCAAGTGCTTGTAGCAACCACCTGGGAACCCCTCTCTTTTGATCACATTCCTCTCTTTTTTTTCTCCACTCTAATGATGACCACTGTCTTGTCTTTTATGATAATCACCCTCTTGGTTTTATTTAAAGTTTATTGATGTATGCATCTCTAGAAAATATAATTTTGCCTGATTTTTATCTCTGTAAATGGAATCTTACTGTATACAATCTTTTTATTCTCGCCTCTTTCACTCTGTTAGATTTATAAGGTTCATCCATGTTATTGCATATAGCTTGTTTATTGTCATTGCTGTAGAGTAAATCATTATACGAATATACCACAACTTACCTGTTTACTATTGATGGATATTTGAGTTAATTTTAGCTATTAAGAAATGCTGCTCTGCACATTCTTGTAGATGTACCTTGGAGCATATTTGCATGTTTTTCTAGTGTATATACCCTGGAGTGGGATTACCAAATTAAAAGGATTGTGTATCTTATACTTTAGAAGATAATAAAAACTTTTCCTTATGGGTTTTGCCAGTTCACATCCTACCACCATTGTATGAGAGTTCTCATATTTGGGTTCTATTTGATTTCTTACTTTCTTTTGTTTTTGTGAATTCTTTTAAACATTTTTTTGGTCAGTTTTTGGTTTGGTTGCTTGGCTTTTGCTTATGGGTTTGTAAGAGTTCTTTATGTATTCTGGATATTGGTGCTTTGTCAGTTAATATAGGTAGCAAAATGTCTCTGTTTTATGATACATATTAACCATTTTAATCAGAATTTTCCCCCCAATACTGAATGGGAACGTTAAGATTTTTTTCACACAGGCACCATTTCCCTCTGTCTTCCTAATGTAGAGATACTGTGTGGTTAGGTCAGTATTCTCATTATGCAACTACTGGTTATTGCTGAGCCATAATTCACCTATACACAATATTCCCAGTCATAACTTTTTAAAGATATTAAAGTATACTCCTCTAGCTCAGGCAACAGAACAAGACTCTGTCTCAA